TATTATATATATATATATATATATTCATTTATGTTAAAAAAATCACATGAATGCCTAATTTGTAAATACCAATATTTCTAATGGTTTGTATGCAATAATCTATTTTAAGGGAGATTTCATTTTCTTATTATTTGCTGATTTTTGTAAGAATTGTCTTCGACTTCTATTTCCTCGTCTGGTTTTCGAAAAAGCGTCGATAGGGCAGGCACAGAGTGGAGGATGGTGGCGCCGAATTTGAAAGCGGAGACGCTTTCATTGAGCGAGAAGAGAGCTTCAATGGAGGCGGAGATGAACGCCATAATCGCGCAGCTCTCAGTGCCAGGAGGACCTGGTATCACCGGCAATCTCGTTGATTCGGAGGTTTTCTATCCTCTAACTACATCGCGCAGTCTCCATTATTATTATTATTATTATTTTCTGATCGAGTAATAAAGAATGCACCGGCTTGATTTCCTTGTGCCTGATTAAATATCGTGGTTTTTCTCTTCAGGGGTTTCCTCGATCAGATATAGATATCCCTGCCGTCCGGGCGCAGCGAGCTCGTCTTCTTGGTATGATAATGAATTGTGTTCCTTTGATATTTTTGAAAGTTCTAGCTCTGTTTAAAAATTTTGATGCATGACTATGTTACAATGATTGCTCGGTGGTTGTTTAGAACTCATTTTTAGTTGTATCTGGACCTTTCAAGTGCCGTTTGGCTTCTTTTGATTACTTCAAAAAATGATGCTCGTGAACAGCGTGTTTATGTTCGGCTAGATTTACATATTATTGTTTGTGTTTGGCTCAAAATTGGCTTTTTTAAATTTCAAACATAATTTAAAAGCGGGTTGGGAGCGCAGAGCTGCTCGATTTTCTTTTGCTTCAGCATATTTATTTCCCATTTTCTTATTCCTAATCATTGTATTTTATATTGGGAGACTATTTATATGTTTTGTTTTCTATTTTGTAGGGACTTTTACTTTGTTTTGAATATTATGGAGATTGTAATCTCTGATATCCTACTTTGAGACTTAGGAGTGATTTATCCATATGCTTTAACATGGAAGTGAAATATGGTTTTTAGTGCTTAGATGTTGTGTTATTTTATATAATAGCTTTGTTGTTTTTTATACCTAATAACTAGTCTGCCTTCTTTTGTATGTTAATTTTGTCAGTACTCCGGAATGATCACAATGCGATCACTGCAAAAATAGATGAAAATTTGCAAGTTCTGCACTCAGCCAAATTAGCTAGAAACGAACCCCAACCCCAACCCCAACCCCATTCAGGTATATCAAGCAAAAAATTTTTATAGCTACAACATTTTGTTGATTAAGATTCCTTGATTTGCAGCTGAAGTAGACTAAGGCTTTGTTTCTTATTTATTTGTCTGCTCAATTGGTTTTTTCACAAGCTATGTACATGCTAATGTTTAATAGGTGTTGAACTTTCTAGGAATATCTACAAACTCGATTAGAATGTGTAATATTTTGGGATCATTGGCTGGATGGCTTATATTGATCCATATTTCTGAACACTGAGACATCTCTAAATTAGCTTGGAACTACATAAATAGATAACTAATGGAGATAAGTGTGTTGGACTGGTGAAATCAGGAATTTGGTTGTTTTTACTAGCCGAATCTGACCAGTTGGATCTTTGTAAAGCTTTGCAACACCTGACAGCCCTCTGATCAAATCTTTATTAGAGCCTCTAAAATTCTGTTTTTTGAGCCCTCTGTTTTATATTCTCAGCTTCATTTTGATGCTCCTTGATGTCCTAGTAGCACATGTCAAGCATTATAGAAGCAGCTGCTCTTATGGTGCTTGACAAACTCTCTGTTTAATTGCCAAACATTATAGATGTACAATTTGCATACTAGTAGCAATAATCACACATTGAATTATTTATAGAAGCAGCTGCTCTTATGGTGCTTGTTTCGTGCATTACCATTTATTGACTTGTGTCTGAGGTATTGAATATATTCATATATTCTATCTATTTTGTTTTCAAATCTTGTGTCAAACCGACACTAATTTTGTCAGTTCATCTATTGAATGCATTTTCTAAACTTCGTTGCACATGTCCAAGTCACTTAATTTTCAATAGATGTTGCTCTGATTCATTCTCTAAATAAATATCCCTTTTTTTTTCATAATATTTTCATACGTTGAAAGAGATAATTCTTGTTATATTATTGACTTAGATTAGGTGCCGCTATTGTGGCATACAAGAGAGTTCAATAGGAAGAAAATAAAGTAGTGAAATATGATCAATTACGTGGATATAAGATGCAATAAAATGTATCCTCTAATCCAATCCTCTCTAAATTCAGCCCTTTTGATATCTAGCAATTTTTCCTGATAAATACACCTTGAACAGGAGCAAAAATTTCATTAAATTTCAACTTATTATGAAGATTGGAAAAATCTAAGAGGTCCTGGAGCTTTAATAAATAATTCAATCAATTGTTCTTCACTAGAAATGTGAAAATCTATGATCTTCTTTGATAAGATTTAGAAGATTTGGGAATTGAGCTGGTTAATTTTCATTGATAGGGAAAAGAGGTTTATATACATTTTCCAAGATTCATAAAATAGGAAAGCCATAAATTCAAAATACATGGAATAGGAAATACATAAAAAAAGCAACTCAAGTAAAGAAAATAAGTAAAATCTAATAATGAAAACATAAATCAATTCTAATAATTCCAATATTCCTCCTTAAGTTGAAGCATAGATGTCAATAATGTTCAACTTAGTAAAGAAAATAAGTAAAAACTAATAAGGAAAACATAAATCAATTTTAATAATTCCAATATTCCTCCTCAAGTTGAAGCATAGATGTCAATCATGTTCAACTTGGATTTGAAGTCATCAAACAATGACCAAAGAAGATTTTTTATGAGGATATCTATTTGTTGACCACTGAATGATACAAATGGAACACAAATCTCCTTAGAATCGAGATTCTCCTTGATGAAGTGATGGTTAATCTCTATATGCTTGATGCAATCATGCTGGATCGGATTATGAGCAATGCTAATGACAACTTTATTACTGCAGAACAACTGTAGAGAAATGAAGACCGACATATTTAACTCGCGAAGCATGATGCATAACCAGAGAGCTTCTCATATTTCCAAAGACATAGAATGAAACTCGGCTTCAACACTGCTACGGGCAATCACCACCTATTTTTTGCTTTTCCAAGTGACAAGGTTTCCCCTCACGAATGAGCAATGACTGAGGTAGATCGCCGATCATGGATGGATCTGACCTAAAAAACGTCAGTATAAATAACAATAGAGCAAGAGGTGTGGTGAGAGAACAAAAAACCTGAGCTCGGCATGCAAGTAGTGTAAAATTCCGTGGACATCGGTGAGATGATGCTCATAAAGATAATTCATAAACTGACTCACAATACCAATAGTGTGACATATGTCGGGGTGGGAATGAGCGAGATAAATGAGTTTACCCACAAGACGTTGGTAGTGTGTTTTGTTCACCGGAACGACATTAGGAACATCTAATAATTTCTCATTTGGATCCATCAGAACAACAACTGGTTTGCAAAGGAGAAGATCGGTTTTAGTTAAGAGGTCCATCACATATTTGCGTTGGGAAAGACAAATGTCCTAAGATGACCGAACAACTTCCTAGTCTAAAAAATATCAGAGACCCCAAGTCTTTCTTTTCAAAAGTGGCGGCAAGGATGCCTTTAAGAGACTCCAAGGCTGGCAGATCATTTCCTGTGAGCACAATATAGTCGACATAGGCGATAAGGATGACAATATGACCACCAGAGGAATGTCGAAAGAATAGAGTATAATCAGATTGAGCCTGTGAGAACCCATGACCCACTACCATCTGCGTGAACTTGCAGAACCAGGCCCGAGGGGTTTGCTTCAGTCCTTAGAGGGACTTTCACCGTCGACACACTTATCCACGGGAAGAAGTTGAGTTAAAGTTCGGAGGGAGAGACCTATACACCTCATTTGTGAGATTATCGTTAAAGAAACCATGCTTGATATCCAGTTGGAGTAGGTGCTAATCCAATTTCAAGACAATGAATAACAAAACCCGAATGACGTTCAATTTAGCAATCAGAGCAAACGTCTTTTCATAGTTAACTCTATAGGTTTGTGAGTACCCTTTGGTGACCAACCGCGCTTTGTTGCATTCAAAAGATCCATCAGAGTTAAATTTGGTACTGAAAATCCACCAACAACCCACTGCTGTTTGTTCCTGAGACAGATCTACAACATCCCACATATAGTTTCGTCGAAGAGCATTTATCTCATTCGTTATTGTAGCCTTGTGGGAAGGGTCTGCTATAGCTGCCTCAATATTGGTTGGAAGACGATGATCCATCAAGGAAGTGACAAATGCTTTGTCTGTTTGCAATAAACTGTGGAATGAGATGTACTTTGCCTTGGAATAAAGAGAGCATGCCTGATTGTATATCTCAATTATAGAATTCTTCTCATTTGGAGCATAAGTAATTCTCGTAAGTTGAGGGAGTGTAGTTCTCGGGATGTCGGACGGAGCGGATTCCAAGAACTGCAACAGGCCCAAGCATTGATATAAATTCATACTTTAATAGAAATTAAAGTTCCAGCCACCTGTAGGTAAAACCGAGCCATCCAAAGCTAAGAAACAACCTGCATGTCTAAATATCCTAAGCATGAAATTATTCTAACAAATATTTGAACAGGAGAGGAACTTCACGAGGAGCTAAACCAAGCCCTTAGAACAAGCTACAACACTTTCCACATTAAATAGATTTTCTCATAGCATACATTTCAAGCCAGGGAAAGCCACAGGAGCTAAACCGAGCCCCCAAACATGCATAAAACAGTAAA